AAGAAAATAAATAAATGAAGGGAAAAAGCTCAAATATGTCATTAAACTTTTAGAAAAGGTTCATTTATATCATCAGTTAAAGGTTTGGCTCATGTATGCTATTTACTGTTAAAAAAAAAACTCATTCATGTCATTATTTTTTAACAGTGGTTTTGTAAAATCATTTTTGACACGTGGTCGATTATATTGGCCACGTCATCAATTTTTAATTTAAAAAAATTAAAAAATTTAATTCAATTTTTTTTAGAATTTTGATTTTTTTATTTAAAAGTTGACACGTGTCCAATTGTAATTCGGCCACGTCATCAATGTTTTTAATAAAAAATGATTTAAAAAATTAAATTCATTTTTTTCATCAAAAAATTTGATGACGTTGACGAATTACAATTGGACACGTATCAAAAATGATTTCGCAAAATCATTGTTAAAAAATAATGGCATGAATGAGTCTTTTCTTGAACGGTAATGACATAAATGAACTAAACTTTTAACTAATGACATATTTGAACTTTTTCCCATAAATAAAAGAATTTAAAGAGGCATAACACAAGAATTATTTCTTCTAATAGTACTCCCTAACAAACAGCCCCTAAAAGGCTTTCTCATATAATTTTGTTATTTTGCTTGTTTATTTAATATGCTTATTTTTTTTAAAAAAAAATGTTCATTAAGTTAAAAGAATGTAAGTATGATCTAATTAGTGCATCTCAGGTAAAATGTATTCACGTCGGGTGTTAACACCAAGTTAATATATGCATGTCATGAATTTAAATTTTTTTTCTTGCATCTCCTATAAGCCTTTAAAATAGAGAGATCTACGTTTTCACGAGATGACACAAACAGATATGCAGATAGCTCCCTCAGTACAACATTTTATATATATCATCTACTTCGTTCTTTCTTTACTATCGTAGAGAACCTAATAAATTCAGAAGCCTACTACTTTGGATCACTCAAATTATCAATTTTCTTGGCCTAAGCCATTGACATAAGTTGTTCTACGCGTTGAATTTGTCATTGTGGCATAAGTTGTTCTACACGTTGAATTTATCATCGTGGTATAATTTATTCCGTCAATTTCACAGTGTATCTCTGTTGGGCTTTGGGGAGCAACATTTTTGCTTCATTTTGAGGGTTTTAGTTTTATTCCAAATCTAAAATCAAAATAAGACCCTTATTTCACTAATTCTAGTTTCGATAAATCGTAAATTATGTCAAACATCTGACTTCTTCTAAGTAATTAAAACTTTAGATGTTTACAAAGGAAAAAGTCCAACATTTAGTTTATTTAAACTCATCTGATGTTTGATGATATTTTATTTCACCATCGACACAATAACTAGTATATAAATAAAGCTCTAATGAATGCACATTGATTACAAGCATGAACATACCTAAAATGAAAAATAATGACATATCACTCTGATTTCTTGATGGCAATAAAGACTAGATTGGGTTGTACTACACCTATGAATGCATGGGATTTGACAAAAATATCAAGAGGTAGAAACAACTTACAAGGATTCTTATCGAATAAAGCTCCATTTGAGGATAGCGCGATAATTTAATTTACTTGTGATATTGATAGCTTTGAAGCTAATCTTACTATTATAATATCATGAAAAAACTACATAATTACAGAAACATTTCTAACAATGTTTACTTGTTCTATCCATAGTTTGAAAATATTACATACATGTCTTACTAATTAATAATTTTATATAAGATTTCAAGTTAAATACACTTAAATACATATATTTTTACTATCAGATACACTCTGAAAAACATATTCATAGGAAGAGAGGCAAGCGGAATTGGAGGGAGGCGAGAAAAGAATCAATGTATCTCAAATACATGTGAATCACATTAAATACATGTATATGAGATATCAGATATTTTTATAGAACAAATGGAGAGAGGCAGACGAGGGAGGGAGATAGACTAACAAAAAAGTCAGAAACATGTAAATCCACTTGAATACAGTGTATCTAGAACAAACTATACGTAAACTTGATCATATGTATCTACACGTATCTAGACACGTTAAAATTTGATAAAACTTGTAACGTTATAAAATAAAATATATCTAAGTAATTAACTCAAAAACTAGTAAAATTTTCGTTAATTTCTTTTTATAAAATCTCTTCTTAAAGTACCTTTTGAGCCATTCACACTTTTGTCTCTATTTTTGTTGATCTTTAATTTTTGTCACCTAAGATAAAATAATTTTTCATAGAGCATAAATTTATGTTTTCGTGCTAAACATAAGTTTAATTTTAAGGGGTAAAAAATGATAATCAACGCTATAAAAGACAAAAAGTCAATAATCGATTCATCATCTAAAAGGAAACCGTATATGGTATATAATTAAATGATATCTTACCCAAGTTATGCAAATATAGTTGTGAACTAGAGTGTTACAACTCTTATCTCAAAAAATTGAGTACAAATTTTACTTAAATTTCTATTATATAAAAGAGTCAAGTTGAGAATGATTAAGGACAATTTTGTTATTTCACAAATATTTTTGAGAATGTTTATTTTTATGCTATGGCATTAAAAAAATGCTAATAGATTTATAATAACAATTCAATCAAATATTTTTTCTTGAATTACATGTGTATCCTAATGATATGATATTTAATTTGAATTCATATTTTCTGTAGATTTTCTTTTGTGTGTGTGAAATTTTCATTAAACCAAAAATATCTATTAAACAATGGCATTTTAGTAATTTTATATTATTTAAGGGTGAAATAATAATTGTATAGTTAATGACCAAAATGAAAATCTAGAAGAATCCATACATGTCTTTGCTTATAAAATTGACCCATAAAGATATTTTTATAATTGTGTTAAAATGAAGAGTTTCTAACTTTCTATTAATTAACTTTTTACAAACAATAATAAATGCTAAATTTGTTTTGACATGTTTTTAAAAGAAAATTTTGAACTAATTTAAAATAAAATGTGTTTGAATAGTTAATATTTTTGTTCCTAAAAATACTTTAAAGAATTATTGCGTAAACATATTTTTAATATTTGTTACAGAATATGATCACTAAATTCGTATCTTAATTATTAAAATAATCTTTAAAATGACGTATCATTATTTTTTTAATTGATTTGAAGATATATAATATTACGTAACTAAAAGAATAAACAATGTTTAACTATTTAACAGGAAAATTTATATAGAATATTTTCTTATATCTAATATGATAAACTATTTAACAGGAAAAATTTGTCAATAAAAAAATTAATATTCAAATTCTAAGGTATATTAAGAATACAATCTAAAGAAAACTGAGTAGTTAAAAAATAAAGAAAAAATAAAAATAAAAATGTCAATAGAAAAGTTCTTGAGAAACAACGAGGAAGAAAAACATTAAAAATAAATAATAATTTGGTTATTTTGTGGGGAAGTTTCTTTTACGATATGATATTTAGGGTGTTAGTATCAAAAAAAATTATTAATATGATTTAGAATATAACTTTATGTCAATTGTTATTATATATAAAAATAAATTGCTTTCATGATTGTTGTTATTTTTTGGAGTTAATTCAATATAATAATAAATATTTTCAATATTTAGAATATAACATTATGATATTTGATATTGTATATAGAAATAAATTTGATTTCATGATTGTTTTTATTGTTGTGGAAGTTAGAAATCAAGCTTTTAATAAATACTTTCAATATTAATACCAAGAGAAATAGAAGTATTTCAATTATCGGAGACAATAATGAAATGTATCAAAAAATTCACCGACAAAGCAAACTACAAACATATTATATATAAGTTGAAGCAGTGAGATTTGAAAGGTTTTGAATCGATCTTTACGAATTGATTGATCAATGATTAATATTTTATAATATGCAAGCTTATGGTACAAATGTTACAAAAAGAAGATGATAATATTGTAGAAAATAGATACCACTTACGAAAATATATGATCGATGAACTTTTTCAAAGATATCAACATTTTAAACTTTCCTCGAATGCGAAATGTTTTAACTCATAACTTAATGCAATTCTCTATTTTATTGCTGCATATATTTTTTTGGAATTCAACTTTCGTAATTTGAATTGTAAACGACGCATTTATGTCGTATGAACATTTGCAAAATATTATTAAGTAATTTATTAAATTGTTTACTGTAAAAAAAATTAGTATAAAGCATAGAAATCTCATATATTTAGAGGCTAATTACATTCTATCCCAGAAGTTTCCTCATTTAGAAAAATCTCAAATTTTTCATTGCTCTCGAATACATTTCTTGATTGTCTGATACATTACTAATGATATATATATTACTTCATGGGAGAGATATGTTCAAGAGGGGATATCTATGTATTTGAGAGTGGGTGGATGTATCCGAGAGGGAATAAGAATATATCTGAGAGAGGATTATAATATTTTAAATTGTGAATTTATGTAATTTTTAAAAAAAAATATGTGAAATTATATTGAACCTGTATCACGGGCCTTAAAATATCTAGTAAGAGAAAAGGACGAATACATTATTAAATAGTTTGACGATGATAACACTCACACAGCCACCCATTTGGGATAGACATTCTATTCCTTCTCGAAAATAATAATATCCAACTTCCCTACTATACTGAAATTTGCTAAATTTGATTATTATCGTCGAAAATGATAACTCTAACAAAGAATTAAATAAATTCAAACAAAAGTATTTTTCTGTATGTCAAAACTCTCTACTTGTTAATAGAAATTCATGTCCATCAAATAAGAAAAAGACCATTTCAACACGCTTGGAGTTTTCTAGGAACAAGAAAGCACTCTTTTAAGTAAATGGATAATAAGCTTTTTCTGTTTTGACTGTGTTTTGAATGACAAGTACATATAATGGATATTACAATCATTCAAAGATAGGAAATCTAATCTGTATATCAACAGCACAAGAATTAAAACGAGAAGGCATTTGTGTATCTTGTGTTGCACCAAATCGCTCATGAGATATGATCTGTGTTCAAATGAAATGAAGGAAGCTTTTTCTATTACTGCAAATAATATACATTATATCATGAAACAATTGAGAATAAATCAGAATACAAAACTGTATTGGTGTCCGCGCCCAACGTAAGTAGATCATAAACACAGATGTGGCAATACAGGGCGGCAGCTATAGAGAGAGCCCACTCCTAATAGCCAGTTTGCTGAACTCCTCTGTTAATAATTTTCAGGGACTACAACATTCTATCCATTCTGGGATCCCCATGTGTAAATTGCATTGTAATTCTGGCTCTGTTAGTTTCGCGATTCCCTGTGCAGCACTCTAGAAAGATGCACCAACTTAAAGGGCTTATCTTCACAATAAAGATTTGTCAATTCAGGCTTTACACATGCAATTTGTTAAAGGATTCTCCCAAAGATCATAATTTGGAAACGTTTCTTCAGGTAAACCAGTTCTAGTCTGATGGGTTATGACAACGTCTTCCACAAAGGAAGCCCACCCCATATATGGATCTCCTAGGGATTTGGACATCAGACCCTTGTCCGGCTTAATGGATTTTAGACGATGACCCATGTACCTACGATGTCCTATTATCAGTTTGGCGAAGTTCCCTCCGTGTGTCATCACAAATACATCAGACTTCAAACAGACTAGGAAGTCGAGGGCTGCCAAGCTTGTCACATGCTTTCTGAAGCCATCCAATTCTGGTTTTGTAGCTAGTTCCTCTTTTGTAACCTATTACATATGCCAAAATATAATATTAATGAAGAACAAAAAAAACAAACAGTACATTGATATAAACAAAACAAAATGGCAGCAGTGAAAAAATTCCAGAACTTTTCTAGGGTCTCTTACACAAAATAATTCCCCCCATGTTTCTTTTAAAGATGACCAGAGTAGTAGGAAATAAGATCAGCTACAAGAAAATAGAACCTGAACAAAATATAGATAAAGGACCCTTCCCTTGATCAGAAGTTTGGGCAAGTAGCTCTTACCAGATTTGGGAACATGTTCCTCAGCGGTGCCATGCGGTTTTGTCCACCATAGACCTGTCCAGAAGCAACATATATTTGAGTTTCTTTAGGATAACCCATGGCTCGAAGCAGCACGGCTACTTCACCAGGCTCAAGAGGGCATCGTCCTTCCTTACGCTTTTGCAGCGCCAATGCCCACAAATGGGAACCATCCTGCCAGCGAAACAAACAGAGAAAACCAGATAAATATATCAAAAATGAAATGGTCGCTGTCAGCTTTATATGAGTGATCATAATCTAGATAACCTTAAACCGCCGAGGCCATTCTTTCTTTCGGTATGCAGCCATGAGATCTTTCTCTGACCTTGTTCCAACAAAATCACAGAATGATAGACCCACCATTCCTTTCTCAAATCTCAAGTGAAGAGCCCTAGTTTTTGACAAAATATTTTAAGTTCCATCATAGATCAGAAGAAGCGAAACAGCATGTTTAACAGCAGCTTTACAAGCATAATAACTCACATGAAAGGATTTGAACTACCAGTGCGGTTTCTCATCCTTGAAACGAGTTGATCAGCCATCTGCTCAATCTCGGGAAGAAACTTCAGAGCATGATAGTTGACCCTGCACCTCAGCTTGTTTATCTCTGGAGGAACATTATCATACCTGAATGATAAGCGGGTAGTCTATCAGGTCAATGCCAGTTTAAAATATCAGGCCACTTAAAGGAGCATGAAAATCTATTTACCCAAGTCGGTCGACAAAAGGTTTTAGTGACATTATCTTCTTCTCCTTGACCCGTGGCAAAACATTATCTATGTAGAACTCTGCTGAAGCGTACTTGGGAATGTTCTTGACTGTACGCCTGGTAAGCATATAGTACAAGCTTTATAAACACTAATGCAAAACATAACATACTGTTGTAAATGGAAATAGTAACTATGCGCTCATCTTCAGCAACTACCCCTCCTTAATTGGAGTTCTTGTGACATTTAATTTATTCATAAATCACTTCATTATTGTATTTATGCAGGCTATTCACAATCTCCTGTCAAGCCCAACCAACCATCTATTGAAACATCGTTGTATCTTTACATTCGAAGTATATGTGAGACAAGCAGTAGCTCTTTTATTTCCTTTTGCTTTTCTGACTACCTTGAAATATCACCTATTTTTATTTTTCACATTCACTATAATCAGAAAAAGAAATAAAATACAACTTGCCAATGCTGAGAAGCAAATCTAGAACTCTTGTGCGATTAATTGTGTCAACAAGGTCTATTTACGAGAATACCAAGTCCATTTTGGTTATTATCCTCATCACTATCTCTTAAGACTTCCGTGTAACTGAGATAATTCTAGAAATCTTGCACAAATCCTGTAGCTGTTGTGGTATGGGGATTAGAGAATTTTGTGCTGGGAGTAATCACCAGTTTGAATTCTCATGGAGAGATGAGGAGCCACACGCTTCAGCTCACACCCAATACATACTACAAATAAATCAATGTTGATAATTACCTTGTTACGCTTACTCTTCACTTACCCCCCTCCCCCTCCTCTCTTA